TCTCTCTCTCTCTCTCTCTCTCTTCCCCCCCCCAACGGGCAGCAGCAGCTGGCTCCACATGGAAAAGGCCGCTTTGAAATTGCTCGGGCCTGTGCGAAACCCGCCACCCCAAAAACCTGCAGTTTCTTGTGTCTGGACCTCTAGGCCCTGTCCGGTGGGGTGAAACGACATTGAAAAATCAACCCATTATTTTTCTAGGGACGGCCAGGACCCGATAAACGTCCTGGGCCGCCCCAATTTTTTTTTTGATTTTTGCCCCAGAGGCCTCAATCCAGACATATTGTCCAGACCCCGGACACCGGACACCAGACAGCGGACACCAGACTGTCTGGAACCCGGTCCGGACGTCCGGGCGGTTACCATGTTGGGAAGCAACCCAAGAACTCCAAACTTCCAAAGGAGATGTTCTCAATTTACCTTTTGTTTTGGAAAAAAAAAGAACAAATGAAAAAAAAAAAAACACAGACTGGACGATTTTTGCTCTGGCAAAACAGGCAGACACTGCAAACAGCAAAAAAGACAAACACTGTTTCTGTTTTTTTTCCCCCTTTCTTTTGGTCCCATGTCTTCGATCAGGTGGGTCGAGAAAATTTACATCTCAATTGGTATGCTGGCAGCACGAAGGTTGGCATTGACTTTTACTCGGTCCGCACTTGAGGCAACTGCGATCTTCAAACCGGCTTCTTTGCACTGTCAGCGATATACACGAGAAAAGTGAATCACAGCAAGATTCAGGGCACAGCAGAACAATACAGCACACTGTTCAAAAACAGAGGATTAAAAGCAAGTGTATACTAACTTTCATCAAACACCACAATATGTACACAATCCCTCGACGCGTATCGACCTGCACGTACACAGGTCTTTTCAGGATGACCTGCACAGTACTAGATGCATAACTGTTAGTAAGCCAGTCATGGGTTCAAACCCTAATGGAATGAGATGGATACAATTACTCGATGGGTTACCACCTACACTGCAAGAGTGGCCTGCAACCACTAACCTGGTCGGGCTGGCCACGTGGGCCGGGGGCAGACTGGACCCACCTGACCCAGGCAATCGAGAAATGAGGTTCAAAAAAAAAAAAAAAAAAAAAAGCATGGTAGCATTGGTAGGGCATTTCTGCACCCACTGAGATGTGCCCCAGATCTGGTGGTCTCACTTTCGGGGATCTGTGGCATACATATACGAGTTTTTAAGTTTAAACTTTAAACTCTAAAGTCAGGGATTGCGAGAGGTGCGCGTCTGTGAGATGATTTCATTTTCAATTTTCTTTCTTATTTTCGATTTAAGCCACCAGAACGCGGACGTACGCCTGCCTGTGAATACGGGGGGAGAGGGGGGGGGGGGGGGGGGGGGGGGGGGGGGGGGGGGGGGGGGGGGGGGGGAGGGGAAAGGAAAATGATTATTATGGTTCGATAGATCATAGATGTGATTTTTCCAATCTTTCTTATGAACGCTCTCTATCTTGGTTAAACCCTAAACTCCAAAAAGAAAAGAACGCGGCTGTACGCCTTCAGTAACTGTGAGAGTAAACCCTCACACTGGGCCCTCAAAATCACATTGAGTACACAAGGAAAGGGCTCGGGGTGATGGAGTTGGCACGCCTGGACGTGGAGGAGTACATGAGGTGTTTACGGGAAATGGATGAGAACGGTGCAAGGGTTGTTGTACCTGAAGAAAGTACGGTCTCCAACAACAAAGAACAGGACATTCAGGGAAACTAGAAGGCCATTCACGCCGTTCGCTCCTCCGACTGTTTAAGCGAGTACAAAAACTTCGTGATGGGAAGGTTATTGACGAACTACTTACTGAGAAAATTCTAAGACTTATTGTTCTTTTTGGTTGTTTGACAGGGAAGATTAAGTGGGGCGAGCCTTACTTAAAATTCTGGGGTCGGATGACTGAGGTCGAGCTGAACTCCGTTGTGGACGGGTCTTCCTCCTGCTGTGTATACCTGATTATTTCACCTTTTTGTAAGCTAAGCTATGTGGGAATGACTAAGAGGGATCTTAGAAAAAGATGGAAGGAACATATTTACTCTAGTCATGGAAATAGCAAACAAAAAGTGCACAACTGGCTACGAAAATTTGGGGAAGATAAATATGTTGCTCTGCCTATATGGTTTGGGAAGGGGGAAGCGGAGATCCGAGCAATTGAAAGTAATATCATAAAGAGCCTGAACCCGGGATTAAATGGTCGAATGAAGAATGAAAAACGACCCAGAAGATCTAGAAAAAAAAAGTGGGGCAACAGAAGAAAGGGGCCATGAACCTGGAAGACCGCTGGTCTTCTGCTGTGCTTCTGAAGGTGTCGAGTCCGAACCCGACCTCTTAAAACTCATGAGAAGGCTGCATAAGGGAAGCAAGAAGAAAGTAGAGATCAAAAGTAACAAAGGAAGCACATGGTTGAAGGCCTGGAGGTTGATTAGGATGGTTTTCGGTTTTAGCCTCATTGAAATTAACGGAAAGAGGATGTTGTTGAGGGATGCTAAGAATGAAATCCAAATGGGGGGGACTTGGCTTCTTTGTGACATTAAACGGACAAAAGGAAAGCAGGAAAGGACCAAAGCGGAAGTTATTGCCCTGCTTTGAACACCATGGAAACAGAAAGAACTTGTGAAAAAAATCGCTCGATGAGCTACTGGAGATGGAGATTGCTGTAAAAACACTAACATCATGAAGGGACAGACAAATCACACGAGGAATCCTCACGCGAACATTAAAAAAGAAGTTCGGGATTAACCCAAGAATCTGGCTCACGGCAAAAATTCCATATAATCCTTGTATTAATAAATCCAAGATTAAAATGCGATTATGTGATTGGGTGGGTGAAAAAATTGAAAACCAAAAACTAGGAGGTATCCTGCAGCAGCGGGTTAGAGTAGTCTGGGAAAAAGCTCCCACTATTTCTGACATCCTGCACAATCAGAAGTTCTATGCGAAGCAGCAGTCTGTTGTCTGCCCCTGCAAGGACTTCGACCTGCCCAAAGTTGATGGGCATGTTAGGGTACGGCTTAGTGAATTGGATAAAATTCCAGAATTCCTTCGCAATTCTAAGAATTTTCCTCCCCCTGGAGGGATGTCTAGCAGGATAGATATTAACAGAGCCTGCAATGATGCGGTGACACCTCTGAAGGCGATGAGGCTGATTCATACCCAAGAGCGGGTAAGCATTCACCTGTATCAGGTTGGATGGAATCCACAGGACCAGGCAGCAGGCGTAGTCAGCACGGAATACGTCTACGGGGTAAAGAAAGCCCTTGAAGGACTGGTACTCTCACCGGCAGACCGGAACAGTGGTGAGACCATAGTAGAATGTCCGACCAGTTACCTGAGGAGCATGGACACTTTGTTTAATCTGAACAGCTGCTACCAGAAGACTGAGGAATCCGAAGCTGAAATCATGACAAACATGAGAAAGGACTATAGAGCCAAGGGGCTAAATCGAATTGCCAACTGGGATGGGAAAGGAAAATTACAAGCAGCCTATGTCATCCCAAAGGATAAAGACCTTGGAAAACGTAGGCCTATTGTTCCTACCTTTTCTAACCCAGCAAGTTCGCTGTTTGGATGCCTTAGTAAATCATTGCATTTTTTGATGAAGGATCTGAAAGAAGAAAATTTCAACTTACCAACTACCAGCTCTCTCAAAGCACAAATTGGAAGAATTAATGAGAAGACACACAAGGAATTTGGAATTGATGGGCGTATCATGCTGAGGACTTATGACATAAAAGAAATGTTTACACAACTACCACATGAAGAAATCAAAGCTGCAGTATTCTGGTTGGTGGAATCCTTTCACAAAAGGGGTATTTGATGGGTCAGAATAAAGACTAGGGGTAAGAAGGCTACTTTTGGAAAATCCCACGGAGAGGAAGGTTGGCGCTCAGTTCGGCTCTCAAACCTCCTTTCCATAGTTGAATTCCAGTTAAGCCACTTGTATTTTCGCGCCAAAGGTGAGATTCTGAGACAGAAGACTGGGCTTCCAATGGGCGGGAAGGCCAGTCCTGCCTTGGCCTGTATCTTATGTGTGTATTTTGAATCACGTTTTCTGAGATCATTGGGCCAGGACACAAAGCGGATTCAAGGGAACCGCTTTATGGATGACCTCCTACTAGCAACTTGGTTTAATGGATCGATATCTGGGGAGGAAGATAAAGCGCGGGACAGGCTTGATAAGATCTTGGGCTGTTATCATCAGGATCTCACCTTGGAAAGGACTGATGCAGGGAGTGGGGTGGTCTCCTTCCTTGAGACAAATCTGATCGTGGCAGATTTTCCGCCGTGGGTACACATGACCCACAGGTTTAAAAATGTGGACACTATTTGGGAAGGGGGACAGAGACATTTCAAATTGATCAAGGACTATGGATCATTTGGAGACAAGAGCCAGAAGTGGGCGGTTGTGGCAGGCACTATTTGGAGGATTAAGCAGAACACAAACACTAAGTGGGCTGCCTGGATAAGTTTGATCACATTCTGCAGGGAGATCAGAAAACTGGGGTACCCAACAGAGGCGTTCATTGCAGGGGTCGAAAAAGTGGGGAGGCGAAGCGGAGGCTACTGGGAGGAACTGGCGCACCAGCTGGCCAACTGGTACAAGGACTGACCAGGATCCAGAAATTTTTGGGTCTTTATTTCTCAGGTACCTCGGGCGGGCTACCTGGCTGCCTGGCCGGGGTTGGTCATTTCATGCAGGGGGATCGGTAGACTGAGATACCCATTGGTGGAATTTTCTGAAGCAGCACACCGGCTGACTAGCTGGAAGATGGACTGATCAAGATCCAGAGTTGCACTCTGAGGTTACAGACCCGACGGCACACTAGCTAACGGCCAAGAAAAGTATGGGTGCGCTGTCAGGGGTAAACGGTAACATGGGGAGACGCATCTGGGCCGGAGTGAAACAGTAACTGGAAACGCGTCCAGGCCAGAACTACACGCGGTGAAAATTGACAGCGGTAAATCGCACTTTCTCACCATGACCCAAAGGGGAAGAACTCCTCTGGATCTAGCCGGATTTTCCATATCAGTTCAGTCCATTTTGCATTTATTTATTTATTTATTTATTTATTTTACTCAGAATTAAGAAGTCCGACGCACCTGAGGAAGCATAGGAAGAGTCGCTCGTTCTCAAGCAATAGATAGGATAAAAGGCTTTGAACTGAGTGCGGGAAGCACTTTTCGACCTGAGTAGTACAAGGGCAGAAGGGTTGAGATCGCTGGTGTTTTTTGGCGATGGTTTCTTCATGATAATGGTACTATGATATTAAAGCCCTCATTATCATGATTTATGTGTTCATTTGTAAGTGGCCAGATCGAGTCTGCCTTTAAGAAGGACTCGATCTGGCCGTTGATTTTGCGATTCTGCGATTTTGAGGGCCTGGTGTGAGTGCGCCTTGAGTCCGTGACAGACTGTTTCATTGGACTTTCACCGACTCGTCAGAAGGTTGGACCCCGACAGTTCGCCCAGGATGGATTTGACGTATGGACTCGCTAGTTTCCCCAATACCCTTGAGAAAACAAGGCAACTTTACTCGCACCATCCTCTGTATGTGTGCGAGTGACACTATGTGGCAATTGACTTCCTCTTCTTCTTTTTTTGTTTGAAACAAGTGCGGCAATGGCACTAGTTGAAACTGGTAAAGGCAAAAAAAAACATGAATGGGCAAACAGAGCTGCCGCCGA